AGATGTAGTTGATAAATTAATCAAATTTGGATGTTTAGGAATGTCAAGCTCAAAATGGTGTAACTCCATCTTCAAATGCAATTTTTACTGTTTTGTGAAATCTCTAGAATAAAATTTATCAACAAGTTTGCAAATAGCATCACTATTAACTGACTTGTACCTGTTTCTTGGATCTAATTCAATGCTCAAAGTAAGTAATTCAACAGTATTATTATTGAACCTGCTATTGAATTTTTACAATTGATAATCAATTGTAGCACAAAATATATTTACCCTATAACATTTTTCAGTGGAAAAATCACCTTATTCATTTCGAGCACGACCTATCCTTCCAATATATTTGGCACTCATATTTGAAATGTCAATGTCATGTTTTATGCAAAATTATTGAATAAGAACCAAGAAAGCATCCCAACCTATCTCTCTTGATTTTTCAAGTAACTCTTTTGTAATTGAAAACCAGATGTAAAACATTTAAAATATCTTGAGACTCTCGTTGCAAAGCTTGACAAAGTACTTCAGTCCTTTGACAAAATCAAAAGATGTCAATATGATTATGCATTATTTGCATCTCCATAATATGATGCTATCTTTCCTTCATTAGAAATATGGGTTTTATAAGAGTTATGTTGTAGGAAAAGTGATTGTGTAATGTTATAGAGATTCGTTTTGCGTGCCGTAATTTCTTTTTTTTCTTTTTTCTTCAAAAAATGTAGGCCCCACAAAATGTTGTGTGTGTAGGAAAATTTGTTGTATCATGTTAAATGACAAATGCAAATCCCTAGAAATATTGTCAAGAACTTCACATGTGGATTTAAACATTTTAAACAAACTGCATATGGAATTGTCATGAGAACTCCAACGATTAGCTCCAGCTCGGTGCAAAGTACCAATCCGATTAAGACCAACTCCTGATTCAAGTTCATCAATAGCAATCATTCTTGAAATTTCAATTGTTTGGGCAACCCTTAACTTATCATTACGCTTACAAGAAGAAGTAACAATATTAATTATAAAGTTTAATTTTTCAAAAAATTGATGATTACCTCATGAGATGTAGCAATCAAGGCAAGTTGAAGGTGATGAACTAAGCAATGGAGATAATAAGCATATGGACACTCAACGCAAATTAAAGCCTCCAATCCATTCCATTCACCTCGTATATTGCTAGCTCCATCATAGCCTTGTTATTGAATATTTTGAGCATCAAGATTATGGTGACGAAGAGTGTCGAGTATTCCTTGTTTCAAAGTCATAATCATAACACTTGTATCTTCCACATGTACAAGACTGGAAAACCTTTCCCGCATAAAACCATCTTTATCTACGAATCTCAAAACAATAGCCATATGTTCTTTTCTAAATACATCACTAGCTTCTTTAACAATAAGACAAAACTTGGCATTGGAAATTTCCTCCTCTATTGTGTTCTTTACCTTTTCAAAGAAAACATGAAGAATTTCCTTTTAAATTTAAGGGGAACTATATGATGCATTTTGAGGAGTTATTTCTAAAACAACTGCTGTAACTTTTTGATTATAGAAAGTTAAAAACTTTATCATCTCAAGAAAATTACCCCTGATTAAATGACAAAATATCCTGAAGGCGAGATCAAACCTTCATTGGTATGAGTTGTTATGTGTTGACTATATCGCTTTCTTTGATTGATCTTTTGTTAATTTGCCTGATGGAATTTGTCTTTGTTTTTGGTAGGTAGCTTCATGGATGCAAAGAAGCATCGCCTGGCTCTGATTCGCCTAAGTAATGAATTGGCTCAAAAAGAAGGTCGTCAGGGTTTTGCATCACCTGTTGAATCTCAGCACACTAAGTTTGCCGCTCCGCCTATTATAGAATATCCTATCCCTGTTTGTGAACTTTCTCCATCTCACGAAGTAACAGACTCTAAGAGAACCATTCCTGAGCCTCTGACTAAAAAGAAGAAATATAGTAAGAAGAGTGTTGCTCCTGCCGAACAGATTGAAACTTCCTCCCCTACTGATGTTGTTAGATAGGGAGAAGGTTAGAAGACACTAGCTTGGACTAGATCACATATGGTTGAGCATGCTACTTTTGTTGAGTGCTTGGGCTGAGGTGATATCTGCGAGATGGATGGTTTTGTTGGCGAGATGCTCTGCGAGATAGTGGAGTTGGTATTGGTATTGGTTCTTTTGAATGATTTAAAGAGACTGGGTTGCAAGGAACTCTGATGCTTAAGTCAGTAATAATTCAAGGTGTTCAAGTATTGATAGGAAGATGCTCATACCTAGGCTTAATGCAGGTGCTGTCCTTGAGTTATTGGTTCACATAGGAGTCAAGTTGTTATGTGCAGCTGATGTCTCATGGTCCAATTGTCTGAGTTGCTAATTGCTTGTGTGAGGGGGTGATGAGATTCTTACGTTACGCAAGATTAATGTGTTTTCCTCTTCACTAAACCATGGTTCTTTGGGCTTATTGGGCCTTCTCTTGGTTTGGGCCTACTATCCCGCATAAGTAAGGTCTAGATCAAACACCAATGATTTTTTTTATTTGAAAACAATTCTTTAAACTTTTTTAAAATCTTAATCCAATACACTTCTTTAATATTTTTAATATAATTGAAAAATCTCAGCCTTACAAATCCAATCCTCCATGAAAATCATAAACTCCCATTCTCTTCAATTTCAAACGGGAGGAGCTAGGATATTTTCCCAAGGGGGGCAAAAAATCCAATATCAAAATAATGCAAAAATTGAATTGTATGAGTATGACCATTTTCAAGTGGATCATTGCCCTCTGCATCTTGATGGAGCTTTTTAAAGCCAGATGAGATGTCATCAATAGATTGATAAACATTTTTAGCGTCATTTAAGTTCACTGGAAGTTAGCAAAACCAGATCAATAGATTTCATAACAAAAAGGAAATATACAAATGATAGCATTGTCAGGAAATAGTTATCATAAATAGTTATTACAAATGGCAACATTGCTATTTCGGTTGTTCCACCAAATAGGAATGCCAGTAACAATTCCTTTGGAAGAATTACTGACACCCGTCTGCAAATCAAAAGAACCACAGATGATCTTCTCGGTGGCCGGCGGCACTGGCGCCACCACCCTGACAGAGAGATTGATTATCCCATTTCTCAGGCCATCAAAGTCCCTCAACCTATAACTCAAGAACTGTAAGCATTTATCAGGCACGAAACCTCGTAGGTAATCTGAAAGTGCTATTCTCGCCACACCAACGTCTTTGATTACTCCCATTTGAGTTTTGTACTTCACCTCGAACATTATTGACCTTGCGGCAGAAGAAGGCAACGACAAGAAAATAAAGAGAATAGCAACTCTGAGGAAAAAAAAAAAAAGAATTAAGATGCCTATGCAGATAACGGATGAAACAAAAAAAGAATACATATAGCCCCCTGCATCTTGAATTGGGTTTCAAAGAACAACTTGCTAAACGTGGGGAAGGTAAAATACTTGTGACTGTGAAGGAGGAAGCAGCTCTCTATAAGATGTTAAAAATATTTCTTCAAATTTTTTTTTGGGGGGGCGGGGGCGGGGGCACCCCAGCCCTCGTTTTGCTCCACCCCTGATTTCAAACCTAAGGACCAGCACAAGTTTCACTTAAAAAAAATCTCTTGGTCAGATTTTTTTTGTTAAAAAGTATCTTGAAACGGTTCAATTTAATGAAAAAACAATGGGGAATTGTTTTCTTATCTTATATGAGATCAAAACAACTTTTTTACACTCACATGTAAAGAAATGAGACTTATTTATATATTTTCTCTTCTCTCTCTTCTACACATGTGTGTAGAAAACTTATTTTATCTTATTTAATATAAGAAAACAATTTCTCAAAAACAATGTATATATATATACAGGGCTTATCGTTTCTCAATCTGCTCGAAATAATTTTATCTTCGGCTACTAAATCATAATCGTACAAAGATGGATTAATAGTGATAAAGAAAGAGAGAGAAAAAGGGAATCATAACCATTCAAAAGTAAATCAATTAATATAAGAAAATAAATAAATAAAACGACGTAATTTTGGAGTGGTCAAAAATAAATCTATCTCAAGCTGTTTGAGAAATATTTTTCTGATATATATATAGGTGAACATAAGTTCTTTCTTGTTTCGCTGTAGAAAAGGGTGTTATTAGTAATTAATTTCCTCCTGAAGACTTTGATCTTTGAGGAAATGGTTGCACACCCACTAAAAACAGTTGGAGAACATTACAATGAGTTTCTCTTTTCTACATTTTTCATAATAGAAATATAAAAGTAATTTATAATTTATTCGTTAATAACAATATGATAATCCACAAATATAAAAACCAGAGACAATATAATAATCCATATATCTATATTTGAGAATTTTTAACTAAAAAATATTTTATGAACTTATCAAAAACAACAATTAATAACTTTTAAATATAAGTTATAAATGTGAAAGTATAAAATAGCCTGTGGGTAGAAGAACATATAAGATGACTAGGAATTAATAACATTGTATCCGAATGGCGTATTTTCTCGAATACTCTATGAAAAACTAAAACTAAATTATGTTTATATAAAAAGTTTAAAACTGCAACGTGCATAAGTTATAACACTTTAATAACGTTGGATGATAATTTTACACCCATCAAATAAATCGACACATTTGATTTGATAATATTCTTTGAATAATCCCCATATTCATTCAATAATTAATAAACATTTTGACCATATAATTTACAACAAAACAAATATTTTAAGATAATAACTAGAAAAGAAGAACAAGAACAAGAAGAAACTGTAATTACATTGCAAGAAGTCAAGAACAAGTGAACAACGATGCAAACAGTAAAGTCGGGTAATAAATTGGTGGGGCCGGAACAGACCAAACGGAATGGGTCGTTTACGCGGCATTGCACGAGACATGTCAAATGACGAGAATGACCCTTCGCACATGTGTCAATAACGTTGAAGCCAGAAAGCGTGTGAGCGACCGCATAACATAGCACCTTACCCAATGAGACCCAAACCCACTTTTCTTTCCAAGCAAACTCATTTCAGACCAAAAAATAATAAAAATAAAAAGAATAAGAAGAAGAAGAAGAAAACGCGCACTGTTTTTTCAATTGCTGCTTTTTTCTTCTCTCTTTCTCTAATTTTGTTTCTCTCGGTAAGATTTTCTCTCCTTTTCTCGGGAAACTTCTGGATCCACTCATCCATCGCGCGATTTCGCCTATACAATTAAGTTTATGTTCTTTTCTGGTTTGTAATTTCGATTTTTGTTTCCTTAGGGTTTTGATTTGATTTGATTTGATTATTCCAATGAGCGATCATTTGGTGCTCTTCGTTGACCGTCTCCTGCGCCCTGTGCCCGTTGACCCCGTCGCGCAGCCCGCTCAGCTCCCGTCCGAACCCTCTCCGTCTCCAGCCGCCGCTGCCGGGCCCTCCGGCTCTTCTCCGCCGGCGGATCGAGACGGTGATGCTGTTTTGGAGCGCGGCGAGGATTGTGATGAGGAGGAACCGCTGATCCAGATGGCGGAGTGCCGCATCTGCCAGGAGGAGGACGGCGTTTCCAATTTGGAGACTCCTTGCGCCTGCAGCGGCAGTCTTAAGGTATCAATTATTATCTTCCATTTTTTTTAATGAATTTGAGGTATTCATGTTTGGAATTATTTTATTTTATTTAATTTGGTTTAATTTTAATGATTTCTGCGTTTTGGGTATACAGATGATGCCTGATTTGAAATGATCGATGAATGTGAAAAATGGCTGATTTTTTATTTTTTTAATTATTTTTGGGGGACGAGGGGATATAGTTTTTTTTTTTTTTTTTTTAAATATATATTTAACTTCTTAAGGTCAGTGTGGATGGTAATTAGTTACTGAACCGATATATGCATTCGCTTGGGTAGAAGGTTTTAAATTTTGTGACTTCGAGTATTTTTTCACCCTTCTGGTTTCTAGATGCAACCTTGATCAAGATGTGTTTTATATATTTGACCGGTTTACATATTAGATCCACTTTTCTAAATGAGAAATGAGAATCAAATGTTCTTGTGAGAAACTTCTCTCTGCTTCACTCTATTGACCTGGTAAATGCATTAATATCCATTTCTCAGCTTTAGATGGAGGCCGAGAATGCAAAAGAAGCATGGAGGAACATTGTTGTTTGTTTGATTTTGACTTTCATTTCTTTTGTCTGTTTTGGTCTTCCTAATTCTTGAACTGTTGGTATTTGGTTTTGCACAGTATGCTCACAGAAAATGCGTCCAGCATTGGTGCAATGAGAAAGGAGACATAATTTGTGAGATATGTCATCAGGTGTGCTTCTTAGTACAATAATTTTCATATTCCGTTACATTTTGGTTCCTGAAAGGTTATGATAATGGGAAATTACGTGAAATTTTATTTTTATATGTGTCTAGCTTTATTGGACAACAATTTGGCGCTTCTGTATCTTGGATCCCTGGGTATACAGGAGTTGGTCCTAGGTTGGATCCCTGGGTATATTTATAGCATGTTTGAATTTGATTAAGTTTGGGAGAATAAGTGCTTGTATTTTTTTAAGTTCTCTCTGTAAACTTTTAAATATAAACTGTTGTTAACACTGAGCTAATCCAAGGTCTCACTGAATCTGTTTTCTCTTCAAATTTTTTATATGAGCTCCCCCATGTAAAATTTTATAGTTTCACCCATGTGGGTATAGTGATAGAGTGAAGAACTATCTGCCTTCTTGATTAACTAGTCTGAAGGGAAAAATAGTTACAACCAGATTTCCCTTAGACAGTGGGTACTGGGTATGGTATAAGGAAACAAAGTAAAAGATTTTCCCTAAGCTAATTGCCGGAATCAAGAAGAAAATACTTATATACCCTCCAATAACCCTGACTCTCCTGGCTAACCACTCTCCCCATACATGCCCTTCCTCTAACAGAATTCTAGGCCTCTCATGCCTACTGATTTCAGAAAAATCATCTGCCAATGGTACCTCTGACTCTGACTGACTTCTCTCCTCTTTGCAATACCCTTCATTTTCTTCCTTCTTGAATAAACCATCCCCTGATGTGGCCTTCTGATACAGGCCCTCCTCTTAAGATGTATTTACAAGAGCATGGTAGCTTATGCTGAGTCAGCAAAGAGTCAGTTGGAGAGGGAATATCCCAGAAGCAATTCAGTTAGATGAGTTAGCTTGAGGAATGAGGGATAAGTAGGGAAAGTGTGAGTGGGTGGGGGTATTTGGAATCTTGGACTTGGGCTGGGATTGGGAGAGACTAGAGCCTCTCTAAGTGCTCTAGGTTTATCTGAATTTTCTGTCACTTTCTTTTATTTTCCTTAGTTTCCATTACTGTCTGTTGTCATTTCCATTACCAAGTGACTGTACTGAAGCAAGCTTTCCATATCAATACCAAAGTTTCTTTGTTCTATTCAGTTTCTATCTGCTAGGTTGATACCTATCACCTTCCTTCAGTAACAGTAGCTCTTCCATCACTTTAAGTTGGGCTCAAGTCATAGTATCTAATATATAGGATGCCAAGGTGTAATATATAGGGCTCAAGTCATATTTGGGATCACAACTCAAAACCACTTTATACTCTTAGACGTGTGTGATGAATAACAAAAATTGGCAATCTATAAAAATTGATTCTATAGTTTAGTTGTGAATTTGAGATTGCTACATGTTTTGGGATTAAGGATGGAATATGGGATGCCTGCTACCCAGGTACCAAACATGGGCATCTTGTGTAGGCATCCAAGATATTCTGGAGTTTTAGAGGCCTGTATGAGGATACATTTGTACCATACACCACTTTAACTTCTTGCAAGTTGTCCAAGGAAAGGAAAAAATTGGGGCTAACAAGGAAACATTAGTCATGTGCATAAGTTAAAAATATGTCTAGGAAATATGATATTTTGTATTCTAAGATTGTAGATGTGTACGCGATATTTTTGTGGTTTCTTGTGTACTTTGTACCTCTGGATTGAACCAAATGCTCTTTATCCTGTGTATTTAAATCCTTCAATTTATACTATTTTTGTGCTTATCTTTGATAATAGTTTTCTTACTTTGTGCGTGTAATTGTCAGCCTTATCAACCTGGGTATACTGCCCCACCACCTCGTCCTAATCCAGATGAAACTACCATTGAAATAGGGTAAGTTGAAATTTTATATTTTAAATTAGTATTCGTTTGATTCTGTTATGTTAGTTATATGTATAAGTGTTCTCTTTGTAAGTTATATAGAGGCTGCAGTCATTTATTATAGCCATTTGAAACTCGTCTCACTAATGAGTCATGACCATTCTCGCAGAGGTGGCTGGACAATAGCTGGCACGCCTTTGGACTTGCGTGATCCTCGACTCTTGGCTATTGCAGAGGCAGAACGTCAATTCTTGGATGCCGAATATGATGAATATGCTGCTTCTAATGCCAGTGGAGCTGCATTTTGCCGCTCAGCTGCTCTAATTGTAAGGCATTAACCTTCTATTCTTTTTTTACCAAATTATTTGTAGAATTCAGTTATTTTTATTTGCACCATTATTTTTTTGTGGCCATGCTTCTGGACGATAGGATATAACTTCAAAAATATCAAGCTGTAGTGGCATTTGATACTACATTTATATTTGGAATTTTTCAGAAACCAATTATACCTTAATTTGTTCACTGCGCTTATATTGACTATGCCATTATGCCTAACTAGTGGACCTGGTTTTAAGCGTAATTCATTTTATTTTGTGCAGTTGATGGCCCTTTTACTTTTGCGGCATGCACTATCTGTCACAGATGGTGATGCTTCTGATGATGATCCATCCAATTTTTTCTCTGTAAGTTATTTGAGTTTCTTTTAGTGAAGTTGTATGTCCGCTGTTGAATTGATTTCAAATGTAATATGGAGCCAACCTAATTATTAGCTCCCCATTTTCTGCAGCTTTTCTTGCTTCGAGCTGCTGGATTTCTTTTGCCTTGCTATATTATGGCTTGGGCAATCAGTATTCTGCAACGTCGGCGACAAAGACAAGTCAGTTTTCATTTTAGTTCCGACTAATATTTGCTCTGGTTTTGCTCAGTCAGTTCATTGTTTCTGTTTTGAAATAATGATATGCTATATTGTTCCGTTTGAGGCTGCACACAATGTGTTCATATCTCTTTTGCTAGTGCATATGGGAAAATCAAACATGCAGATATATTCCCCCTAGTATGTTCTGTGAATTTCTTACGGTTCTGTATTATTGTGAAACAGGAGGCTGCAGCGCTAGCAGCAACCCAAGTTGCTTTTGTTCTACAATCTGGGCAGCGTAGAGGTTTACAATTTGCGATAGCACCAGGACCCACAGTACAGCAGGAACAAGTGTAGTTTTGTATGTTTATGTATGAACACCCATGGCGTGTACGCCATATAAACAAGGCTTGTTGCAATGCCATGCATTATTACTCTTGATTTTTACAGCTCTAATGTATGTACATACTAGTGGTGGTAAAACAATCCGTAAATCCATTATCATCCATTCAATTCATCCATCTATAAATGTAATCGAATCCATCCAGTTATCATAACGAGATTTGTATGGAAAATGATGGTCAATGGTGTCGTCAGTATCGTTACTGGATGATTCATTTGAGGGACTTAGGTGGCAAAATGGGTCTAATCTATCGGGTTAGCCTGTTTAACCGGGTTGGGTTGGGATTTTTAACTTGCCAATTCGCTTGGATCTATTGCGCATAAGAGCAGGTGGGTTATATCTCTTTGCCACCTTAGTTATACACTACTTTATGGAAGGAGAGAAGAGCAAGTTTATTGGGTGCACATGTAACTGGGGGCTAAAATGGTATTTAATCACAGTATCTCTTAAGGTACTATGTAGAAGAATATGTAGACTTAACTAGCAATTTAGAGTTAGTCACATAGTTTAGCTTTTTTCACTACGGAAATACTGACATTTGCGTAGTTGCGCTTTTAATTAATACAGCATAAGTTTTTATAATGAAGTGGAGATAAGCGCAATAATTACAAAATGTGAGGGAGCAGAGTTTAAATTTAGTTTGTGAGATTTCTAGTGGTATAATTTTTTTTTTATTTTGTGACTTTTCTGTATGTTCTTTTTTTCTTTTTTTGTCAGTTTTTCTGTATGTTCTTTGTGTGTTATTAATTTTAAAGAAATGATTTTATTGTGCTTTATTAGGATAAGTACATTTAAGTAAAAAATAAATGTAAAATTTAAAAAATGTAAGACCACTCCAAAACATGAAGCCCATAAAACATTTCCAAAATCAACCACTAACTAGATCAATAAAGAGAGAATATTTTTAAGTTGCAAGAAGAAGAAAAAAATATATTGCATTTGAACATTTTCGATTAATAAACTCAACAATATTCAAGTACCTTATGTTTAGTGAACTATAATAGCATATCTCTACTTAACCTCTAGCTTACGATAAAAGAATATATATATTTTTTCCATTAATAAATTTGACTATATTTAAAGAAACTGTATGCTCAATTTCACAATAATAAATGATAATTGGATTGTTCAATTTTGTTTACCCCTTGGCCCTTCATCAGCGTATTCTGGAGTTCGTTCATCCCTGGCTACAACAGAAAAGTACGCTGCACTATTTGCAACTATCCAGGAGACATAACAACTGGTCTATATGTAATCAAACACAGACACAAAAGAGACTGAACACAGTAAAATTTAATTTTCCTATTATAGTTTTATGCTTGGAACATATATAATTCTTTTTTCAAGGCTTCACATCACTCATCTTACAAAGAGATAACATTTTTTTTTTATCAAAAAGAACAGAAAATGGACATAGAACATGGACTATGATATGAAAATTTTCTTGAATAAATTTAGCTCTTCTATTGAATGCTAGGTTGTAAAGGATAAACAAAACCTAAATTATGGGTAAAAGTTTTTCTAAAAATATGTTTAGCCACAAGCAAAATCAAATGGTTCGGAATTTTTAATCAAATGTTGTAGCAATTGAGACGGAACTGACAGTTAGGGACCCCGGGTGTGGGCTACAGGGAGATTGGCGTGTAATTAGATCATTATTCTCTTTTGAACAAAGCAGATGAAGCATATATTCTAACATACTCTAGTTATGATTATAGTTCAAGATGGCCACCAATTTTAAATCAAAGAAGCATCTTACTTTAGCTTATGTTTAGGTGACATTCTCTTTGTAGCTCCAACTTTTTTCCTTTCTTTTGTAAAGAATTTGTAGCAGCCAACGAGTCTTATCATCATCAACTTTGATCCTGCCAATCAAACGTGACTCAAATTTGTTCCAAACTTGCAATTCATTCTTCAGCTTCAAAACTGACACATAATCTTAACCAATATATGTATATATTTTTGTTTCCTTTCATTTATTTATTTATTTTTAGTTTGTGAACAAGAAGAATTGATTGTTCAATTTGGCTGGATCATTGTTCCCGCATGCTTATATTTCAAGGTCATGAACCTCTGGCGATTTAGTATCAGACATATTCTCATGCATATCCAAGATTTCAAATCTATTGGATAAAGCAAAAAACTAAGCAAAAAACTGTTCAAAGATGGGGTATACTATCTGTAACAATTAAAACTCGTTTTTTGCTTCTTCTTTTTTTTCTTCTTCTTCTTTAAGTTGCTTTGCCATTCTTCTTTTTCTTTCTTTCGTGCTTGTGTGGTGGCCTTATTCAGTCAGTGCTCATTGTATCGAGACCGCCATGCTGAGCCTTATGGGACACACTTTCGTTCAAAACAAATTTACAAAGAGCAAACAACTTTAAGACCAGTCTTGAGAATCTAGGAAAGCCATTATATGTAAAATTTTCACCTTTGTTTTGTGTTTACTTACTGTACAATTTTTAATAGCAGGAAGTGGGTTCTGCCATCATGTTTAGATCAATAGGGTAACACATTCTTTAACAGAAAACAGACGTATCTAACAAGTTAACCTTGTCATTGTACGTACCGTACCACGTATCCATCATAAGACCCCACTCTTTCTATTTCCTAATATGGGAAAAGCACATTAGGCAGTTTGAAATATTTTGATATCCATATCATACGCAAATTGGCCTATATGTAAACTGTAAATTTAAAGCATTTAGACACCTCTAAGGGATCAACAAAGGTATTATTGATCTTCATGTAAGATGAAGACTTTTTTTTAGACACAAGAGTATGAATAATTATTTGCATAATTATTCATAACAAAACATTTTTAAGGAAAAGAAGTCTGTGTTTCTCTCTTTCAAATTAATGGTCGTGTACCATGAAAAGATCATTTTATTTTTTTATGTTTGTGTACATCAAACGAAGGCTATGCAAGTACACAATTTAATGATAATCCGCTTGGAGGTTAGATAGTCACAACACAACACAACACATCACATTAGGCTTTAGGCATATCAGTGCAAGTTAATAACTATTCAGAGGGAATATTCTTTTAGGGCATGTGGTTTGCAACAAGGTGACACACTCAAAAGGCAGTTTCAAACCTTAGGAAGAAAAATGAAAAACGGAAAGCAACGAGTCATTTTAACTCTCACTTTAATTGGAAGATAAAAAGCAAAAGAAATAAAAAATATATATTAGATGATAGAAAAGAGGACATAAATTGTCCTAGCACTGGTTGTTTCACTTGGACCATGACCAGTCACCCTTCATCTTAAGAAACCATATCACGAAGTTGTGAAAAAAGCGAAGAATTTATGCTTTCGACAGTTCCTAGTTGCATGTGATATTTTAAGTTAAAAAGAAAATTAATAAAACAAGAACGAGAGAGAGAGAGAGAGAGCATGAAATTTTTGATGGGACAATTAGAGCTCGGCAACTAATCTAAAAGTAGAAGAAAGCATAAGGTAGACATTGAACCCAAGAAATCGAGTAGTGTTATTTTTGTTACATGGGGAAGAGAGCTAGGAATTCTAAAGTGAAGATGAGATCTTAGAAGTTAGAAAAGAGCATAAAGCAATAGTTTGTTTCTTTTGGGGACTGTTCTATTCCCCAATCTATTCTTTATATGACCCTTCTTCTACTGTACTCGGTGGCCCATTGTTCCTGTCTGCCCAGTCATTCTGTTTAAAAGCAACTAATCTATGCTATACTGCTGCCCTTTCTTAATTACAAAGGAACCCGTATAAGACTCTTTAAGGGTCTTGACACGGAATAAACATCCACTATTTGCAAATGTATAATGTAACTTATTATGGGCACATATATATATATATATAAATATAGGAATATATTTTTCTTATGATGTAGGAAAAAAATTACTTCATGGTGTAGAAATAAAAGTATAAGTAAGACCCACATGTAAGAGAAGAAAAAAAAAAAGAATGGTGAGACCCAATCCCTTTTTGTGTGTGTAGAAGAGTTGTTTATCTCATGTAAAATGAGATAAACATAACCCATATATATATTACCCTAGGAAGTGCAATATGGATATGACACAACAATGATACAAGAATATGATATGGCTAAAATTCAAGATATAAAATTAATAAAATATAAATATCAACACAAATCTACAATAAAGACAATATTATTATATAAGTCAGATTTAGTTGTTCTAGACATAATAAAATACTATCTTTATGTACAATACTATCATTTATCTAATCATTGTGATATTCCACTTGCATAATACAAAAATTGAAAAGTAATTAAAACATATAGGCTAAGAGTATACAACAAATATTTGATATGTATGAGGATACCAAAACGGTAACTATTTTGAAGTATCAATGCTTCTTAGATATTAATTCTTATATATATTTGTCATAAAATTATAACCTGTTATTTAAAGAAATCCATCCTAAATTAGGGCAACATACATAATCTGCTATAGACTAAAGGCAAACATATGCTGACGTGAGGACCATGAATCCCTTGTGAGCCAAAACCAAGTAAAACCACAAGCAATCAAGAACATAAGACATATTTATCCATATATACAAACAAAGGTATAGTTGTATGATGTGGCAAGTTGGCCAGGAGTCCAGGCAACTATGTTTGGCTTCTTTTATTGGAAAAAGCGGCATATGATAGAGATGTAGGGAAAGAATGAAAAAAAGTAAGATACTTGGCCTCTCAAGGATATTGTCCACAAACCCTTTATTCATCCTTGTCAGATTCTTCGATAACAGCCTTAATTTGCTAATTTCAGGCTTATGATTCTTGATGAATCTAAAATTCCTGTAGGCCCTCCCCTCCCTGCTTTAAGCTTTAAAGGTCCCTCCAAATCTAGTAGGACATATATAACAAGCTTATATCTACAGGAATGGACCATAAGGATACAGATAGTATTAGCAGAGAGCTGTTTATTCTCGTCACTCTAAACAGAAAGAGCATACCTTCTATTATTCTTGTTTCAGAGTGAAGAGAATATGGTGTTTCATCCTTCTAGAATAATCATTCTTCTTCTCTTTGTTGGGTTCTTAATATCAGTTCAACCAGAGACAGTGTTGGGCCTGAGAAGTTTAGAAATTGCACCAAGACAGAACCAAAAAAACCACAGGGTAATGCTGCAGAATCAACATACT